CTTACCACTTTGGAAATAAGTTATTAATATAACCCATCTTTGTTCAAGCCAAAAGCGACCCATTTGTTAACATAAAACTAACCACAGTTAAGGTAATATAATCGAGTTTCTGTCACATTGGAAATATCAAACCTTCCAACCTCAAAATAAACTATAGTTCCAAATTCCAAATGTTTGATGGTCCACCTGTATATCCCCTTCAAGAAATAAGGATTGTCTATCTTTCTTCTTATTAATTTGAAAATATACGACACCACTGCGAGGTTCCGCCTAACACGGAATTCATTATATCCCATCACTCCTAATATAAATAAGGTTGGATATTTCAGTAGGTAAAGAGGATATACCCCATACTATTTGAATTTTTTGATTTTACATATCAATGATACGCTGCAAACCCGTAACATTCCTTGCTATGCAGATAACAGCACTAGTGATGCTCTGTACACCGGCCGTGCCAATATTTCTCGGGAAAACGTCTCCGAGTACCGGGACAAACTTGTGTCTGAAGTCAAGTCTTTGCTGAACAGAGTCTCGGATTGGGGGCGACTAAATCTAGTCCAGTTTAACCCTCAGAAGACACAAGTTTGCGCGTTAACCGCTTAAAAGAACCCCTTTGTCGTATCTCCTCAGTTTCAAGGCACTCCCCTTGTTGCCTCAGCCAGTATCGGAATCCTCGGCGTCGACATATCGAATGACGTGCAGTTTCGTGGTCAGTTGGAAGAGAAGGCCAAATTGGCCTCTAAAAAGCTTGGCGTGCTCAGTAGAGCGGGACAGTATTTCATGCCGGCACACCGCCTGCAACTTTACAAGGCGCAGGTTCTGGATCATGGAATTCTATTCCTGTTCTGTCTGGGCTGGAGCTCCTCAGTACAAGTTCCTTCCACTTGACCGCACCCAGCACAGAGCGGCTTGATTCGTCGACGACCGAGTGCTTTCCGATCGGCTCGATTCACTGGCGCTGCGAAGAGAGGTTGCATCTCTTTGCATTTTCTTTCGCATATACCATGGGGAGTGCTCTGAGGAATTGTTCGGATTAGTCCCAGCCGCCAAATTTCGTGAACGCACTACGCGGCAAACGCCCGATACCATCCACACCATCTGGATGCTTGGCGGCCCACCACTGTAGGTACGTTCCACAAGTTTTCTTCCGCGTACGTCCTCTCTGTGGAATATCTTACCACCGGCGATTTTTCCGGACCGATACGATCTGGGGACCTTCAAGAAAAGAGTGTACTCCTTTCTAAAGGGCCGGCAACGCACCTGCAATTCCCCTGGTGTTGCGGTTGATCATGGGCGGCGGTAGTCACTTAACATCAGATGAGCCCCATGCTCGTTTTCCCCCTCTTCTATAAAAAAAATACAGAAACCTAACAAATTTTTTTTGAATTCTCTCCAGCATGAGACTATACTTATTCATGTGGACTCCAGATAACCGCGTTACACTCAAGATGGCTCCTAACTAATGCGTTATACAATGTTATAATGGCTTTATTGTTTGTGAAAAAAAAACCTAAGTTGGGATACGCTTTCTTACAGATGGCAACTACATGATTTTGAAAATTTTATCCTGAGGTGAAACGAACACCCAAATCCTTAACCTCGTTCACTCGTAACATAGCCATCTAGCGCATGTCTATAGGGCACTGGATTGCATGCGCGAGAAAAAGTTAGCGTTACACAATTGGATGGACTAAACTGCAACTTATTATCCTTACACCATGATACCACCCTGTCAATGTCGCATTGTAATTTCTCACAGTCCCCTATTCCCTAACCGGCAGATACAGCGTAAGGTCGCCAGCAAACAGCAAACATTTAGCGTCAGTCACAACACTCGGCAGATCGTTTATCATTAATGTAAACTCGAGAGGACCGAGATTGCTGCCCTGACTCACATCAGGTCGAGTGTAATATGGGTTCAATACGAAACCAGCGTATTCCACATATTGTTGCCTGTTCCTCATCTAACTGGCAAACAATTTAGTAAGTGTGGAGCAAAACCAACGCTTGCTAACTTTTTAAGCAGTACATCGTTATTGACCAAGATATTTTTGGCTACGATGTTAATTCTATTTTATATTACAATGCTATTTATTATTTTGTATAAGGCGTTTAGTTGTAAAGCGAGTTTAAACTTTTTTTCTTTTAATTCTTCTCTTTGGCCTGAGAATGGCTTAGTATGACAAATAATTTTCATCCTCTCTATTGCTTGGCAAGGTAAAGGCTAGTTAGCTCTAAGAGTAAAATGTACGCAATAAAATGTATGTAATGGAACTACCCTAGAGAAGACGGGCTGAAAGAACAGATCATCTGGGAGCGCTCCACTTTCAAGCTTAGCATGAATTTAGAGAAGTTCACCTCGTATCTTACAGGCAGAAATTTTCGCCATGCTTCGTTGTGCGGAAGTCAACCTGCAAACGCGCTGTCAATTGTCAACCATCTAAAACACTGATAGTCTAGCAGCACTACTAGTGCAGACATAAAACTTAGTCACCTAAAAATCTAGTTGGAGACTGCGTGAACCTGTCCTGGGGTGTAACAACACAATCGATTTGAGATGGGTTCCGGGTCATGCGGGTATTGTAGCAATGAACTTGCCGACAAGCTTGCACGGGAGTACACAATTTGGACACGAGTCTGTGTAACGTTACGTACGTCTGCGTTACGTATCTGTGTAATCTCAAAAAGCCTGACCCGATTGAGACTATAGGTGCAGTACAGGATAATAGTGCACAAGTGTATGCGCAAGTACAGGTGCACTATCTATTCCCTCATTCTCATGTTCCGATGGGACGGTAAACAGACACGACCGGAATGATCAGGCGCGGGACCAACAGCTTTACGTGCATTCCGAGGCATTCTGAGACAACGCCAACATCCTAACTCCGGGCCCAACCTGGGATACGAACCCGGGATCTCATGATCAGCAGTCGTGTTTACGTTAATCGTGTTAACCACTAGACCAACGAGTCAGTCAATATCTGATACACCAGGCTTAAAACATCTTAAAACCTTAATCCGGGCTTATGATCGTAAATACACTTTTCTGAAGCCTGGGATTTAGTAAGAATAACCTTCGTATTCTGGCAAGAGCCCTAAGTGAACACTGTCGTCTAAAAAAGCACATGTCCATCATGGGACTAAGCAACTCAAGGATGTGCCGATCCGGTCCTTAAAAAAACGCATCTGCACATCTTAACTGACTGTAGACCCTTAATGTGTAATCGGGAAACACTCATCTAGGAAACTACGTATTTAGCTCAGAAGTGAATATGCTCACAGCTAAGCAACTCCTTTAGTTCGTTAAAGATGAGGCTCAGCAGTGAACTATAGCCATTGCAGCGATCACAATAGATCTTACAGGTCGCAGTGATACTGGTCTTTTTAGACTTCAACGATGACGCGTACAGCTGTCCATAGAAGTTCTCAATCTCACTCAAAATCTCAGATGTCCCGGAAACGATGCTACCACATTCGGTCTTCAGCTTCGACTATCGGCTCCCTCTGGCAAACAGATCTCTGACAAAGACTTTGGAGCAATAGTTATGCCAGATCGCTCCTTCAATAGTCTTGTGTAGTTCGCGAACTATGAACGATTAGGAAACGTACCTTGGCACTGTATTAAAGAAAAATTTCCGAATGCTGATTGTTAATCGGTCTAACAGCGCCTTTCGTACACCTACACTCGCAAGGCGCTAATACCAAACGTAAACGTAACTCGAGAATCGGTCAAAAGCCAATCGAGAACAAGAGCACGAACTTATAAGAAGTACTAGCGTAGACAAGAGCCAAGCAATGCCTCTCTAATTCAGTCAGTTACTGACTGAGATAACCATTCCACACAGATAGATGCAATTTAAACAGGTTAATGGTACTGATGACCGAAAAGAGCTAATAGAATGAACTAGTTCACCGTCCGAAATTAACTAGTACAGAGCGATCTTTAAAATGACCGAGCAGACAGAAGACTATCTTTCAATACGAGCTGTATTGAAGTTGCCCCGTCACACGCATTTGGAATGTGTATTCTGTTCTGAGTGGAGTCTGTTCATTTGCCAGTATACTGTCGTATCCGCTGAAAACTGCAGCTTCATTTCCCATCTAACAAGTCATCCCATCACCTTTTTTTATTAAATGTGATCTAATATTTTTTTAATTAAATAAAGGGCGACATTTGACCATACAATCCACCTGATGCTAAGTGAATACGATGTGAATAAGATGCGTTGTCACCCCTGAGGACTAAGATGGAATGCCTCGTTACCAGTAAGGTCTCCGGTTTTCTACACTCACCATACGAAACACAGCAGAATTAAGTTGCTATTTTATGCTGGTATTCTGTGAGAGCATGGTCCTTCCCCGGTTGAGCTCACCCACTTCTGCTACAACCATAATATAGCTGTAACTTCGCTCTACCGTCAGTAAGACTTTATATACGCATGACTGGATTTTTCTGCGTTAAGAACGAGTCCCATATCATGAGACCATTAATTTAAAAGCGTTATATCATCTTGAAAAGTTTTTTTGAACTTGAATTGCGGCACAATTGCACGATCAGTTCATCACAGTCATGCGATGAGATCAAGAATGTGATCGGAGAGTTTTTGTGTTCTTGTGCGGCGAGTCCTACATAACTTAGATCCGACTGCATGGATAGTTTCCACAAGCTTGTCATTCATATCGTCCGCATCTTCATAGCAGTTTTCTAGGCACTGAAAACACGGAGCAAATGCTCCGTGACTGAAAACGATTTTGTAACTCGAGCTGAAAGTTTTCGAGGCTTTGGATTAGAGCACGAGGGGGACGGAGCGTCGTGTTTGAGTACTTTCTCTTCAGGTTTGATACAAAAACACACGAATCAATCTCAGTTGGGTCAACATTAATACAATAAGAAAATTACTACTGGGTTTAAATAAAACATATTCAAGTGCTAATATTTTATTTTCAGACAGGATGTAAAGAATGTTACCATGATTACTAAGTGGAATGTTATATATTTATCGGTTACCCCTTTTGCTCATCCTTAAATCTCGTTCAATTTCATATTGACGGACATCTGCGCGTGCTAGGAAATCTTGACGCTCCAAATATCTGCAATAAGAATGATAACGAAAACATATATAGATTGAATAATAAACAATTATTTGCTCGCATTTTGGGCGGTGGCAACATAATAAGGGAATCTACACCCTTTGGGTGTCGTAAGAATAGACTTAAAAATTCCTGAACACCAACACATTTTCGGAGTGAACTCGCCAGGCACACACTTATCTTTCCTCGCAACACCACGGAAAAAAGACCTGCCACATTCCATCAACACGCATTTGTAGTAGACTCGTCAAGAAATGAGCCAAGCACACACTTCTTTGATGAATGAAAGTATGGATTTAATAAAACTAGTTTTTAGGGAATTTTAGTAATATTAATCTGGAGGTAGCCATGGTTAACATTGGGATGTCAAACACCTAAGTCCCCCATGACCATGGATGCTGTAAAGTGGTCAAAACGTCGGGAATATAAAATAAGTTAAAATCCGTTAAAACTAATTTTATCTAAATGTGTAGTGTTCGTGTAAATATAAGAAAATGGATGCTTCATAAAAGCATTTGCCTATATCATGTAAGGTACCTGCGGGTAATAAGGCCTAGCTAAGGGACATTTGAATAATACGTGAAAAATATGCAATTTGGTCTACATACGAGGGGTAATCCAAAAGTAATGATAATCGGTTACTTCAGGTCCGCATAAAAATCCAAAAAAAAATATTTTTTGCTTGTTTATATACTCACTACGTCAACCTAGAAAAATCATATAAATAGATCACGATTTCCGGGAGATACATTCATTTGAATACAAACTGTCAAAGAGATAACATCAAAATGGAGAAAAACGAAATTAGAGCTGTCATCAAGTACCTCTGTTTAAAAAAAATGTCTTCAAAAGACATACACAGTGACTTAGCGGAAACATTGGGGGACTCTGCTCCTCCATATTCTACAGTTGCACGCTGGGTTAAGGAGTTTAAACTGGGCAGAACATCAACTGAAGATGAACATCGCGAAGGACGCCCATCCACGTCCCTCACTGAAGACAACATGAAAAAAGTTGAAGATGTTGTGTTGTCAGATCGAAGAGTGACCATCAGGCATGTAACTGAGGTTACAGGGATCTCATATGGCAGCGTTCAAAGAATCCTTGCGAACAAGTTGCACATGAAAAAGGTCTCTGCGCGTTGGGTACCCAGAATGTAAACCGACGATCAAAAGAATAATCGAGTTGACATTTCGAGGGTCAATCTCGAAAAGTTCCAAGCAGATCAAGAAAATTTTTTGTTCCGTTTTGCGACTATGGACGAGACCTGGATCCACCATTTTGATCCTGAAACTAAACAACAATCGATGACTTGGAAGCGAGCCCCCTCACCGACGCCAAAGAAATTCAAAGTTTCAAGTTCGGCGGGAAAGGTTATGCTTATGGCATCTGTTTTTTGGGACGCTCAAGGCATAATTATGGTGGAATATCTGGAAAAGGGAGCCACTATTACGGGCTCTTACTACGCAGACCAAATAAGAAGATTACGGGAGGCCATTAAGGAAAAAATACGCGACAAACTGCGAGCTGGAGTGCTGTTTCACAAAGACAACGCACCGGCTCACAAAGCCGCAGTTGCGATGGCTGCCATTCAAGAAACGGGATTCAAACTGCTCGAACACCCTCCCTATTCGCCAGATCTAGCTCCTAATGACTTCTACCTCTTTCCTCGGCTCAAGGAACGCCTCCGAGGCAAGAAATTCGAAGACGATAGTGAAGTAATGGCCGCTGTTGAAGCGTTTTGGCAGGGTCAAGAAAAATAATTTTTCAAAGGGAATCTTGGGTTTAGAAAAAAGATGGACTAAATGTATTGATTTGTTAGGAGACTATGTAGAAAAATAAATTATTATTTTAACATTAATAACCGTGTTTTATTTTCATTATCATTACTTTTGGATCACCCCTCGTATTTTGATAAAAATCGTTGGATTAGTACATTTCTAAAAAGCATGAACGAAAAATTGTAACATGGCAAATGTTACAATTTTTCGTAATAAAGAAAAACAAAGTTAAACATTTCTAAAAACTTTGCTAGTAGACCTTATTTTACTATGGTTGGATAATAAGGCCTACTGATTTAACGAACTCAAATTATCAAAATATACGTAATATATTTAATATTTGTGATCAATAATTACAAAAATGAAGCAATTACGACTTAAAGTTCTGAAAAAATATAATCTTCCTCGTCTAACAGCACTTTAGTAAAGTCATTATTATAATCATGAACAAACTGACAAGCAATGCACTCCACGTGATTATCATCAGAGCTTCGGTTGTGTCTCGAGTAATCGAGTTAGATGAGTGTTAGGTTGAGTTGAGAGTTGGATTGATTGTTGGGTTGAGTGTTCTCTCAACCGAATTTTCGTCCCAGCGCACATACGGGTATTTGAACGATCCACGCGGCCAAAAGTCAAATTTATAAAATGCAAACCAGTAAAAAAACGACTACCTAGGATGCGAGACAGGTTAGAGAACAATACCCAACCCCTCCCGCCTTCTCACCGTGCATGCCACGCTTCCACGGGCAGTCGGAATTTGATCGTCCCGCATGGTGTATGTGTTTGTTCTCGTGGCGTTCGTTTGCAACAAAGACTTCAACCGTGAATATTTGTTATTTTGCGTTTATTTTGGAAGAAAAAAGTTATGGGTCCTGATAAAGCAGGTAATTATCTACTATTTTAAATATAATTTGGATAATTTTTGTAATTTTAAAGATTCGTTTTAGTATATTGAAAGTCACGCGTAATATGGAATATTTTTTAGCTATAATTTGTGTTTAAAAAGGAATATGTTATACTACCATGTTAGATCCTGTCATAATTCTTAATATAATCGAAAGTTTAAAGCTTTGAGTACTAACAAATTCAAAAATTTGCCGCGGATAGTCGCGGATAAGTACCTAATTTTTTTTTAAAGAAAACATAAAAGTCTTTATTTATGTTAAGTGAATTTTTAAGCAAAGTTTTTTTTTGTTTTAGGGTCACAAAGAACCTCGGGAGCAAGAACTGTGACCCGTAAATACTTGTTACACTGCATGCAGAGCTTCAATTTGCCTAATTTGGAAGAAAAACTGACTTTCTTTAATGAGGAACTTCTGTCATGCGGAGCGTACTCAAAAAGAGCAAATTAAGACCTTTAAATCCACCTTTTCTCACTTTAAAAGGCAATTAAGACAAAGGTGGTCAAAGGCTCATAAGAAGGAAGACGTGTTTCGCAAATACAATGATTCATGGCTTGAAGGAACTATTGAGATTTCCGCTGTTGCACAAAGTCAGCCAGGCCGCCCACGAAGTTATTTGGAGATTCAAGTGAAGGAACAAAAAGGAAGAAAACTGAGGAGATTCGGTCTAATGTAGAAGAAGACGTGATCGTTCATGCTGCTCAGATTGAGTTGCGGAAAAGTGGAAAACGAAATGCTTACGATATATTAAAAGAAATCACCAGTACTAGTCCGACACGTGCAACAAAATATAAGAAGGCATTTTCTGAAACAAGAAAAGAAGAAACTTGCCCTCTTACAGCATTGCAAGCATTGGCAATGTTTGTAGAAGCTGATTTAACTCGTCGACAGTACGAAATAATTAGAAATACCAACAAAAAGTTCTTCCCTTGTTACAGCCTTTTACAAAAGACAAAATAAGAACATAACCACCGCCAGAGGCATGCAAAGTAACAAGTACCTGCGCTGAAAGCGACTTACAATCTTTGGTTGATCAACCGTAAGGCGCCTGTCAACCTCCAGAGAAGAAGTCCTGATGACATTAAATGAGAAAGAACGAGATAGCCTAAAGATAATATGTAAATGGGGTTGTGATGGATCTCAGCAATCTAAGTACAAGCAAAAATTTGAAAATGATGCTGACTCAGATGCTAATATATTTCAGAGCTGTTTCGTCCCTCTACGATTGGTTTGTGGCCAAGATGAAAAAAAGATTGTATGGGAAAACCCAACACCCTCTTCTCCACGATATTGCCGGCCAATCAGGTTCCGTTTCGTAAAAGAGAGTACCGACATAACGGAAGAAGAAATTAATTACGTCAAAAACTCTACTGATTCACTAAAGGCAACAGAGGTTGACTTAAATGTAGAAAAATTTTTAGTGAAACAATCATTCATCATTTCAATGGTAGACGGTAAAGTCTGCAATGCTGCCACAGGTACGAAATCCACAAGCCGGTACTACATATGCGGTGCGACTTCTAAGGATTTCAACCGATTAGATGTTAAAAAAGAGATAAATCCTGAAGCTATCGAGTTTGGGCTTTCGGTTTTACATGCGAGAATTCGTCTTTTCGAAAGCATTCTCCACTTGGCGTATAAATTGCCTGTAAAAAAATACAAAGAGAGGAAAACAGAAGCCGAAAAAAAAATCGAAAATGAAAAGAAACTGAAAATTCAAACCAGATTTCGGCAATACTAATGACTGCAACACCAGCAGAAGATTTTTTGAAGATCCTCAGTTAGCTTCTGATATAACGGGCATTAGTCATGAACTAATATACAGATTAAAAGTCATACTAGAAACGATTTCGAGTGGAAATATAATCGATCCAGAAAAATGCGACAAATATGCTAGATACTGCTCGCTTATATGTCGATCTATACCCTTGGCACCCTATGACACCAACAATGCACAAAATCCTTATCCATGGTGCAATTATAATAAAAAATGCATTGTTACCCATTGGGCAGCTCTCTGAAGAGGCCGCGGAAGCGCGTAATAAGCATTTCAGGTTATACCGCCAAGAATTCGCTCGAAAATTGAGAAAACTGCAACAGAGACATTTTTAACCGGCTTCTTTTGACTTCGGACCCTCTGTTAAGTAGCATGAAAAGTGTAAAAAGTAGAAAACTTAATTCTTTCTTGCCAGAAACAATTGCTCTACTTATGCCTGCGAATCCGAATGAACCTGGTCATTCTTCAGAAAGCGAAGATGAACATTTGTCTGAAAAATTATAGATTTTTTGATGTTTTCTTTTTGTTTTGAATAAATATGTCTCGATTTAATATTAAAACCTTTGTTTCATTTACTAATGTAGTTTAGAACAATTATCGAATATAAAATAATTTTGCCCGCGTAGATCGTTCAAATACCCGCATGTGCAGCAGCCAGTCTCCACGGAGACTAGCCTATATGCTCAGTACAGAATTATAGTGTCTGAATGTGCAAGCACAGGTGCACTCTCTAATCCCTCACAATCATCAAATCGCAATCCGACACGGTCCGAGAGAGCTTAGGTGCATGACCAATAATTTAAACATAATTTAATAGCTTCTAATTTCAAAGCCTTAACTCTTCGACACACTTTATCTTTGCATTGATTGTACAGCTGAAAAAAGATCGTTTTTTGACTACGATATTAGTTTAGTAATAAAAGCGTACGATTTATTTTCATTTACAATATTTTTAAAGTGATATAAAATAGATTATAAAACAAAAAAAACTACACACGAATACGACAATACGTTATTCAAATCTTCAAGATCAACAAAGCATTTATTCACACAGATAAAGATTGCGATTTTAGATAGCTAAGTGTAATATAACAAAACATATCTAAGATTTATTTATCTGGTGGCAGGATATGGGGTAGTGCGTCTCTGCAAACTTGTAGACATTATCGTGTAATAGGAGTCTGTTGTTATCTCCTTGAGGGAGAGCGGTTATTATAAATACGATTTTTGTTACTTAGGCCTTATTAGTCGACAGGCCTTATTACCCGCAGGTATGTATATTACTGTGCATACTTACAGGTATGTATATTATTCACATCAAGGCAAATTAGTTATTGTTAGTACTTCTTTTTCATTTTAGGGACTAGTAGACTAGGGCTAACTAAGTAATCACAGAACCTGGTAACGGAGTTGTGCATTAAAGAAACACTCATTGCTGAGGGTGTAATGAGAATATTAAACTTTTCTTCAAAGTTCAACCTCATATACAAGCTGAGCACAACTTTACCAGTGCTCTCACAGACTGCACCCGCCAATGTGTATGACCATATCTTACAAGTAATGCATGTCTGCTGGTGCATTCTTGTAAAGGACTTAGTCCAGCAGTGGGCTGGAATAGGTAGTACATAGAAATATACAACCTCTTCTAGTCTATTTTTTTTAAACTTTTGCACAAAAATAGTAAAATGGCGGGCTTAGTGCCACAAGGCAAGAACATCCAGTCAACTAGTCAGTCCATTAGGCTAAGCAGAAATAGACATAGGAGGCAGTGTCGCGTTAGAAAAGGCAGTGTCACGTTAGAGAAGGCAGTATTCCATTCCAGTTTTATAGCCACAAGAGCAGAAGATCATGAAAATTAACCAGTACCGTGTAGATACATTAAAGGGCTATCTAAGCTGACGAACAGTTAATCAAGCTGAGTTTAAAAAGACGATACATGGTTATATTTAAAATAGCCATAAATGTATCTGATGTTGTTAAGATAAGTTGTAACAGACCTTTAAATGATGTAAGATAAATTTAGTAATGATATTAAATTTATATATATATATATATATATATATATATATATATATATTGGATTGTTTAGTTATATATATATATATATATATATATATATATATATATATTGTTTTTTTTTTAATATTGGACTGTGTTTAGTTGTGAATTATCAGCATACTAACGGTAAAAGCACTTGAGATTTAATGTAAGTCTAGTTTCTGTGATGAGTGCTGTTAGTCTATTTGGCTCTTATGTCTGTAATGGACTCAGAAAGTGGGTGGAGATTGTTTATTTTAAGTGCGACGCTATAAGTGTAGCGTTACACTTAAAAGAAATCTTGTGTAGTTATGAACACGTTTCACATTGAAATCTTTTTTCTATCGTTATCTAACCACCATCGGAACAAGGGTGGTGCGCCGCGGCTCCAACGGCTAATTCGTTACGTTCGGTGTTCTGGGCGATGAGAACCGCCCAGGGACGCGGGTGTACAGTGTGTACGCGGAGTGGACGGGTGTGCGGCGCGCCCGTCTGCGAACTTGCTGCGTCCCATCCGTTGTCCCAACTGCGTTTGTTGCACTAGGTGAGCGTGTTGTCGAAAATTTGAGTTGTCGAAATCTAGCGGAACTGGGGGTTCGATTAAAACGTGGCGGGGCCTCCAGAGACTTTCCGTAACGTTTGGAAGTTGGAGCGTAGGTGGGCGTAGGTGGCTACGTTTACCACTAGCGTATTGGGATGTATTTCGGCGCTTTTGAAGTAGCGCCGAGACTATTCCATGAAATATATTTACGTTGACGGTGATTGATAAAAATAGAAAACAGAAGAGGCGAGAGAATATAGCCTTTAAAAAAAAAAGAAAATAAGGGTGACAAACGAGCACACAGTCCACCTGATAATGTGAGTGGATGCTGTGGCCCATAGACATCTATATTTATCCTTAATTAAGAATCAAACCGCAGATGCATTGTCACCCCGGAGGACAAAAGGGTCTCCGGATATCTACAATGACCATACGAAACACAGCAGTATTAAGCCGCTATTTTACGCTAGTATTCTATGAGAGTGTGGTCCTTCCTCAGTCGAGCCGACCCATTTGTGCTACAACCATAATATAGCTGCAGCGTGACTCTACCACATATAAGAACTGGTGCCTTGAGGGACACCAGATAATAAATCACTCCAATTGGATAAATTAACGGACCAAATAAACAGCAGTCACGCTTACGACTATTAGACCAACGAGGCAGTAAGACTTATAAACAAATTTATAATAGTTCATCATATTATACGGCATTTAGCTTGACCTACGTTTAGCAAACCTTGGGTTTCTCTGCTAAATGTCAAGCTAAATAAAAGTTATGCAGTAAGCAAATCTCACAGCACTATTAATCTTAACATATTTGTTAAATCATTATTTAAAAAAAATTTATTGCAGCCCATAAAAGTTCACCACTAAACATAAGTCTCTCCCATAGATTGCCCCATAGGTGAGATTTTGCTATAGTTGCCACGCTTGGAAGGCAGATTTGCAACTGCAGTTTTTTATTATTTTAAGTTGTTCTCAGGAAGATGCTGATTCCCATCTCCTGATTCAGATTCCCTATCGCCTCCTACAACAATATGGGGATTCTTTTGGATTGAACATTCTTATATCACTACTACACGGTTTAAATTTTGGTTTACAACTAACTAATAAAAACATCAATCATAATAATATGATGTCTTTTGACACATATTGCATAATAAATGAGAGCACATCAACATAATATTATATCCGAAACATATCATTATTAATATATATATATATATAATACATTTGTTCATTATTTTTTGTATAAATATTCTTAAAAGAAGATTTTTACTATTAAGAGCTCAACATCAATTCCTACCCTTGCTTTCCTTTATTGTGACTTTGAATTTCATCTTCAATATCCTCCACTTTTTTATATGTATTCCAATCAAGCTTCGATTTTTCAAGTGTTGAGAGCTTGTTCTTTTTATTCAACTGTCCCAAAACATTTGATAAGCCACCAGATCCACGACTTCTTAAAGGAATATCTTTACTTACTGTAATTAGAAAAGAAAGTAGTTGTTATTCATTACAGCTCATTATTTAGCAGGCATCAATTGCAACCAACTGTTTTTAACATCATTAAGTTCTTATTAGCAAGTTGCAGCCCATCTCCAGGTTTAGTTTCTCTCCATCACAGCTTACAACTCCAACAATGATATTATGCGATAGTGGATTGTCTTATGCCACAACTACATGGGAAGCAGTATGCTAAATACTTTTGCCTTAAAAGGAAATACATATATATAAACAAATTGTTTTCTTCTTAAGCCCATATGAGTTCACTGCTGGATGTGGGCCTTTTTTGCTGTAAGAAGGATTTAAGTCACATTTAGCAGATGAATAGATTAATGTTGTATCAGATATTTTAGCACCTTTGTAACCGCTGTCTCTCATATTTGGCAATAAGAAGATAATTAAATTGCCATCTATCAGAAGCCATAAGATTTAAATAAAATTTCCCATAGTTACTTTTTACAACACACACAAGACAAAATGGGTTAATATATTACCTTATGCCACCACCACACTGAAAACTTTTTTGTAAAGAGAGAAGTAAGGAGAATTATTTTATATTATTCTGTAATTAATTACTGTTTGAAATATCTAGAGCCTATACTGTTTCAATCATGAGTCATGACACATTCCACATTACCTATATATATATATATATATATATATATATATATATATATATATATATATATATATATATATATAAAAATTAAGGTCAGAAGCCTGTTTATAAACATGTGGTTGAGCCACACTGCAGCTATGTTATGGATGTAGCATGAGCTGGCTCAATTAAGAAAGTCTCCACTCTTATAGAATACCAGCGTAAAATAGCAGCTAATATTGCTGTCTCATATGGTGAGTGTAGAAAACTGAGCCCATTTTATTGGAAATGAGCATTCCATCTTTGTTCTCGGGGGTGACAACACATCTGTATTTTGCTTCCTAACTGCAGATGCCTATGGGGTACAGCATCCACTTGTAATCAGGTTGACTGTATGCTTGTTTGTTAATATACAGGACTATTTTGCAATAACTCATAAATCATATTCAATTTGGGACAATTTCAAATATAAGTAGAAGCCCTATTTACTTGTATTTCTAAAAACTGCAATAACAGTTATTATATAATTGAAGTTAAGTTAAAAATTTGGCTACTCTTTGATAAATAACCCTGCATAAACAGCATAACATATAGATTTATTATATTACCTGAAGGTGAACTCTCAGCTGCTTTGATTTTTTCTTTTATAACATTGTTTTCCACAATAATAGTTTCACCTGCAAATTCAAAAATTCTTCTTTCTCTTTCCTTATCACTTTCAATATCCCGATTAGAATTTTTTGATAATTGTATCCCTTTATCACATTCTGCACTAGAATGGGTAGGCTTTGTTTCACTATGAGAATCTTTTATACTAGATTTGGGTTTTGTGTCAGTTCCCTCTAAAAACTTAGCCCAAAGATCTTCCTCTCTTTTCTTTTCTTCTTCAGGGTCTTTTGTTGCATCAGGTATTTCAACTTTTCCATTGTCTTCAGTCTCCTGGAGACCATTCGTAGCCTTCTTTTTCTTTTTACACTTTTTTGGAACAGCTTTACGTTTTTTACTCTTTTGCTCTATTTCATTTTCATATTGTACTTCAGTTTCTTCATCTGCTGAGTCTTCTTCAGATAGCTTCTCGGGTTCTTTTGGTACATAGTCTTCATCACTGTCACTGCCTGATGACATCTGGAATGATGACATTACATTTATATGATTATAAATGTAACCAAAAAACATATAATATTAAAAAATATATTACCATTTTTGTATGAAGCATTACTATATTATTGTATGTATGCACATAATATTGTTTTATTATAAATTGTATATATTAAATAAAAAACAAATTTAAACAAGTTTTTTTAATAAACTTAATAATTTTATCAAGTTTACACGCATTATGTTACAATTTGTAAGAAATTATACAAAATGTTTTTTATTTCTATTTCTATTTTTAACATTGGATACTTCATAGAAATTGCTTCCAGTTTTAGTGCGACGCTGAGATCTTTCAAAGGCTCTTCTTTGTTTTGCGGTCATTTTATTTACAGTTTTTATGTTGTCACTAGCTTTGCGTTTCATGCACTTCTGTGATAATTCCTCAACTGTAAAAGTACCACTAGCTACTTCTAATTTCTTCCTTTTCATTTCTTTTACTGTTTCTGGGTCATTAGTCAAATAATCTTCTACATCACTGCACTCCTTATCATCATCACTATAAAAGTTACTAATATCTGATTCAGTGTCACTTTTGCTTTTCTTTTCCTCTTCCTTTTCATCATCTTGATTTTCTTCATCATCTATACCCTTCAGTTCATCTGGAATATCTATTTTTTGAAGTGGTTTGACATCCTCTTCATTATCAAATGGTAAGCCTACTCTTATTTTAGCAAAATCCTGTGCTATAACCAATTTATTAATAATTAAGTTTGGTTTTTCTAAAGGATTTATATTTTCTTTGGGATCTGCATTTTCTTTAACTCCTTCTTCATTTTTTTGAACCGTGTTCTGTTCTTTGCCATTATCATTATTAGGTTCTATTTGCTTTTTAATTTCCTTAGACAATGGTACTTCAAATCCCTCTGGTGCAACATAAAAAGGTAACTTACCTCTTTGCCAATCATTAAGAACCATCTTTGCCACTTGAGCTATATCAGGTTCACCTTTTTTCAAAAGTTTACCAGTTCTTGCAGCAAGTTTTTCTAAAAATTCTGTTGAAGTTTCCCACCCATCAACCTTATATGTTTTTATTAAATAATCTTTACGCACTCTTTTAATAACTTCTTCAATGTAGTCCTCTGGATTTTGTACTAATTCTACTCTAACAACACCCTTAAGAACTTTTTCCGTATCTGTTTCAGCCGAAGGATAAACAATGCCGGGGCAATCTATTAAGAATATTCTCCGCATTAATGTTATATATTGCCAAACTTTAGTTTCTCCTGCAATTGGTGCCACTTTGCAGACTTTCTTAGCTCTTAAAGTATTAATTACAGACGATTTCCCAACATTAGGATATCCAATTAAACCAACACTAATTTGTTTTTTATCAATATGTAACTTTGCAAATTGACGTAATAAATTGATAAGTGAACCTTTACCAAATGGATGAGTCATTGAAGCATGAAAAGCAATAGTAGGGTACTCTGAGCTCAAAATTGCAACCCATCGCTGTGTTACCCAGTTAGGAACCAAATCAACTTTATTTAAAATGAAGATTAAGTGTTTATGTGGCTTTTCCTCTTTTAAAAACTTTTCAACATAGGGGCTCCTTGTTCCCATTGGATCTCGTGCATCAAGAACTTGCAAAAGAACATCAGATGAATCTACTACTTTGTACAATTCATTCCAAATTCTTTTACTCATACCAGCACCAAACACCCAATCCCTTTGTCCCTCTTTTACTCCAGTGTCTTCACGAACACGATCAACATCTTTAGTTTCATCATATTTTTCAGCACTCTCTTCAACAGCTTTAGAAAAATGTTCAATATCATTGAATTTTAAATTTACTCGCTTCCTTTGCTTTTTAGGGCCAAATGTTTTGTCAAAACTTTCAGTATCTAGAAGATGTACTCTAGCATGCTTAGCTTTTTCATTGAGCAAAGTAATTGGCAAATTTGTGGGCTTCATAATAACCTTATATGGGTTCTTAACAGCAGCTCCAAATTCTTCTTGGAATTTTTGAAGTGCACTCTGCGAAATCACTCTCGAATTCCCAAACCACTTTTGATTTGGCTCAACTCTTGCTTGAGTACCAGATGGTAACCAGCCTTGAAATGGTGCAGGCGTTAGAATTTTCCCAGTCTTGTCTCTTTTCGCCTTAAAATTACGATACATCTGTAATCTTTTGATTGTCCCTTTTGTTCTGGGTTTACCTACTCCTTTAAGACCTTCAGTAGGTCGATCTGGATTCATCGAATGTCCAGATTTATTAAAGCCCTGTTTACGGGGCGCTCCTGGAGCTGATCGAACTTTACCCATTTTTATATAAAAATATATTCAATAATGAATAATAACAATAAACACGAGGTAATGGTTGATACTAAATTGAGGTTACAATACTCGATCAGTTGATCGACACCAACACTGCTGTCCGAGTCTAACGAAAAGTTTGACAGATCGACCGTGGTACACATAACATAGCGCACTAACTTCACACCTATGAAAATGAAGGTAAATTTAAAAGAATAAAAGAATGCTAATTACCTTGAACTTTACAAGAAAGTTAATGAAATTATTCGATAATATTGCACACTAAATACCCAATAGATCAATAAACGCATCCAAATGTTAAAAGATACTATAACTTCATGTAAGTATCAACAGTAAACCAACACACAAAAAGTTGTATGTACAGCCAACATAACCCGCACAGACTACTAAGAGGATTGATAACCCGTGGGTGGCCCGTGGTTTCTAATCATAGAGTATTAATAGAATACAAGAATACAACCGTAGACAGAGAATCCTATAGACCCGCCATAGCGTGTCGCAGAAAGAGACAAAGAAAAATACGTCACTATACTTAGGGTTACAAGTGTGAGGGAAAATTTACCCCACAACTAGCTATAAAATTAGAAATTAGTACTGAAAAGGAACATTGCTATTAACGATTATCATTGATATGTATTGTAGTTGATGGAGAGCTAAGTGGATTGTATTTGACTAATTATTTATTATAATTTGCTTTGGTGAAGAAAGAAGAAACTAAAAAATTGTGATATCTGTCTGACTAATAAACTTAAAGAAACTATTGTGTAATGAATGAGAGCTTAGTGGGCTGTATTTATGTAGGTTGTGTTTTAATCTTGAAGAAAAAAGATACTGCAATCCATTGAGCTAATATGTACTACGTACTAGAGGCGACACTGCATTCAGCTACTATGTTCCATTCAACTGCGGTGCATACACTGCACTTTAATCAGTCACTCGCTAGCAGCTCCGATAGGAATAATAGTGTTCTGTGCTCGCTAGGCGCTTGTAGAGTTGACACGTGTTGTGTTGATTTAAAAAAAATCTCGTCGTGCGTACTTAGATATTGCACAAATAATTCAAGAAATGTCAGTAAAAACCAAGGAATTCATTTTCATTGGTTAATAAGATACTTAATCATATTAACCAATAAAAATATTATAAATTAGTAATAAAACAAATTATTCCTAAGACGCCATCTTGTGTCACGTAATATAGATTATGAAATTAATTTGTTCAGATGCGACGTTTCTGTGGGTACTTAATTATAGGACGAATATATTATTATACACATTTTTATGTAGAAACATATATGAGTTATCATAATTAGGCCAATTTTTTTATATTTAAATCTGCTAATTATTCTTATATTTTATTTTTAGGTTTCCACATCAAAGTCAAAGTGGAATAAATTCGTCAATTTTTAACTCTCGCGTGCCCAGTATTTATGAACGGCTCTTATTCTAATTTAAATAAATATATTTGTAATTTAAATGTTATATTAACAAGTTTTCTTAAACATACATTTAGTATGTTTTTTTTTATATTTGAGATAGATACCTTTTAAAATATTGAGATAAAAATATCATTAAAATGTAATTGTGATATAATATTATATTAAATAAGCAAATATAATATACAAAATAAATGACAAAATTTAAAAAATTGTTCGCGATATAATTTACCTATTTAACAGTACAATCTTTTATTACCTACTGATCATTCTACATATGTTTATTCTATGATAAGAAAACAAACCGCGCGAACACAGAGTAGCGCACATTTTTTGTTTGAAATAGCTGTTCTAGTACGTAAGTACATATTACTTCAAAGCTGCAATCGCTAGGCATTCTCTGTCTACGAATACAACAATAAAATACCTACACACAGACTATAATAACTATATTTTTTTAAAGTGCCACCAACTTATCTGTTCAGGTGGACAAAATTGGAACTAAGGCCGCCATTTTGTAAATGACATTTCGCTGTCAGTTATTATTTATTCTGAGCTATCAGGTGAGTGTTTTTAAAAAGTGCAAATAAAATGCCTAAAGCTCTTAAAAGTGATGCGCGACAGATTATCCTAAAAGTTTTATCTTTTATGAAAGAAGAGAAACGTGTACAAGCCCCAATTATACCATTTGAAAAGCTGTATGAACGCGTTACTGCCGCGACAGGTTAGTATTGCCAGATATGGAAAATTAAAATCACCACTTGTGAAACATAGTAAAAAAAATTCTCAATTTACTGTAATTCGTCTAAATTACCTAGCTTTGTAATTTGTGGTCTGTGAAGTAGCTATAGTGACGGCATATACACGGGCTTATATTTATTTAATTTTACCTATACAATAATTATTTGTCGTTTCGTTACAGGTGTTTCTGAGCGATTTGTACACAAACTCGTAAATGAAGAGAAACACGCTGAAGAATCAAATTCTAAAATTTCTACCCCTGGCAAAAAAAGGCAAAGAAAAACCGGGAAACAAGAAGTTGATAATTTCGACATTGGTGTTATAAGAAGAAAAATTCACGAATTTTATTCAGTGAAAAAAGAAATTCCTACCATACCCAAATTACTGAGTATTTTAAAAGAAGATATTGATTTCAAAGCAGAACGTGAAACTCTTCGAAAATTGCTTCACAAAATAGGATTTCGTTATAAGAAAACAAAATCAAATAGAAAAGTGTTGTATGAACGTAACGACGTAGTTGCATGGAGAGCAACCTACCTACAAAAAATTAAAGAAAATGAGTGTGGTGAAAAAAGACCTATTATTTATTTAGACGAAACTTACATACATTCGTCTCACTCAACTGGGAAATGTTGGCAAGGTCCTGAAGAGGATGGCGATTTGGAACCTGTTTCGAAAGGTAATAGGTGGATCATAATCCATGCAGGTGGAGAAAAAGGTTTTGTGGAAAATGCACTTCTCGTATTTAAATCAAATACAAAGTATGGGGACTACCATGATGAAATGAATAGCACTAATTTCAAAAAATGGGTATATGAAAAATTACTACCTAATCTGCATGAACCTTCTCTCATTGTGATGGATAATGCGCCATACCATAGTATTTGCGTAAATAGGTGTCCTAATTCAAACCACAGTAAGGCTGATATGCAGAAGTGGCTTGTAGAAAACAATGTGGATTTCAATGAACAAATGACAAAACCACAGCTTTATGAGTTAATAAAGAAAAATAAACCTGCTCCGGAATATGAAATTGATAACCTGATGAAAAGTTATGGCCATGTTATTCTTAGATTGCCGCCTTATCATTGCGACTTGAACGCAGTTGAAATGATATGGAGCTCTATGAAAAGGAACATAGCAGACAAAAATGTTGGAAAATCTAATGTTCTAATGCCCCAATTAATTGAAGATGCATTCAATAAAATTACACCGGTGCAGTGGAAAAACATTTGTAATCATGTGAAAAAAATTGAAAATGCATACAGACTAAAAGACGCGTATTTAGATGAACCCTTTATTATAGAGTGTCAGAGCGATAGCGAAAGCGATTCCAGTGACTCAGAAGATGAATTATTGGAATCAGTAGCTAACGCGGGTACGTCTTTCAAAACAGAAATTCCTGGAGTTCGGCCGCTTGAACTCCGAGACCACGACCACAATTATTTTTATAAAATATAAATAATATATATAATAACACTAATTCTCACTAATTTTAATATATTAACACGAAATTTGTTTTATTTTATATTATGTGTACCCAATGAATATGTAGTCACCTATTTCCTCGGCGAATTTCTTAAATGGCAATAGTAAGTACTCCACTAGCGACTCTGTAAACTGAACAGATAAGTTGGTGGCACTATAATATATTGTATTGAATACAAAGATTACAACATTTTTTTTATATTTAAGATTTTTAGCGTACATGCTTGTTCTTTAAGCCACGTCTACATTTTAAACCCCGAGGAAAAAGAGAGGTGTTATTGACCTATTGGCTCTATATATTAAAGTTGTTCAAAACGACTATAAATCAATAGCACGCTACAGACTATAAACTAGAAATTTCTAGCGCGCTATTAAATACGCTATGTTATAGCGTGCTGTTTATAAAAAAATGTGTAGGAGAAAAATGTGTAAGAGAAATGTGTAAAAGTTTAGCAGCACGCTATATCTTGGAGCACACTACATTACATGTCGTTCATTGGATAGACCGCGTGCTATATAAGAACATTGTTTCGTAATAGGTCGCATTTTAGATTAAAATAAAATAAAGTAATAAAGAAAAATTAAAGAACGCTCTTTCATACTTTTTAGGCTTACGACTTTTTATAATCCTAAAAATATTTTTAAGTACAATACTTTTTAAAACAAAATAAAATTAGTCGTTTTTATTATAATTGATATATACGTTATTTTAACCATAATATTAATTATAAATCAAAGGTGTATTTAAAAGTTTATTGATTCTATATACAAAAATCAACTATTTACAAACACTATTATATACACTTTTGTATCTATATTTTATTTACATTTAAAAACATTAGTTAGGCTTCTTTTGTAGCAGACAACTATGTAATTCGATCAATTATAAATATACAGTATACACTAACTAAATAACGTCTAATACTAAATTAGTTCACGCGCGATGAATAGCGTGCTGCGGGATTAAATTTCCGTCACACGTCTACTCCCAATAGCGCTGCTGCTAGAACTAATTGCCGCTTGAAATGAATAGCGTCATAGCGTCATAGCGCCATGGCCATGACTTACATAAAACGCGATATGCGCTATATTAACCAACATTACTATATATGGACTGACTATAAACCGTGAATAATGAGGCAATTTGATTATCGCCATTTTGGCGCTGACAGCAGAAGTGATTCCACAGAACTAATAATAGAAATAAGACAGCGTGACAAAATATATCTATAAAAATTCTATAACCAGGCCTACTCATAACGTCATTCTATTTAAATCATATTAATATAACGCCATACAATAAATAAATGTATCTATCAATACCTAC